GTTCATGCCGAGGTCCAGGTTGCCTGTGGCTCAGTCACACTCAAACAGACCAGTCAAGGGACCATGCCGTAACAGCTTTTCTTCTGTGAAAATTCAGTAACACTAACCCTAAACCTAGACTTAACCTCCCAGTATTGTAATCGACTTTTAATGTACAGAAAAAGGTCTTCACGGTGATGATAGTGGCTAACCCACAATTGTGGATTTTTGCCCTTACAACTAAGGCAGGGGTTACTCCATCATTCTTTTATTGACATACATCGCCCATCACTGCCCCCTCTGGTTTCTACCTTTAAGTTTAACACCACGTCTTCCAAGTGCTGTCATGGCCTAGGACCCACTGAGTACCTAGAAGACCCTCCCTACGTAGCCCAATTACCAATGACAGAATTGAATTGCCTGTGTTGGTCCGGGATCTCCTACAAGCCATACAATGAGAGTATCTAGAGACTATCTTAGGAACTGATGTGCTGTTCTCGAATACTTTGCAGTGTTACAAAAAAGAAATTCACAGGAACACAACCTGCAGCATTTGCTCAGAATTTAGAGGTGAGGAAGGCTACACTTGTCATTCCCTGAGGGTCCAGTGGAGTGACAGCTCTGGTGTCTGTGTGAAATATGGTAGTCTGACCTTGCAGGAGGCACCATGGCACTGTGCCAGCTGCAACCCAGCTGTGCTCTTAACTGTGGCCCTGCTTTGTTTTCTGGCCTAGAAGGAACAGCCAAACCAACAAAGATGCTTTTGATTCCAAGTGATATTGTTCAGTAGATCAACGTCGCGGAGAAATAGGTACGGATCTTTGTACTTTGGATGCACAGGATAAGTGTGGTGGGTGTCACAGCAAGAATAGCAATTATGTCATCTGTCTTGTCATGGGATGTGACTATAGTAATTGCAACATTCTTTCCCATCAGTGGAGCTTGTAATTATAGTGCAACTAACAGGATTATGTGCTAACTTAGGCTGTTTTAATCACCTCTTTTACTCTGAAATACAAGGGTAAAATTCCACAGTTGTTCCCAGGCTACTGGTTCTTTTCAGTACCTACCATTGTGTGACCCTAACTGAGGCAGGAGACAAGTTATTCAGGGCATTTCATCAGAGCAGCCTTGAGGTACAGCTGGCCTGAGGTTTGCTGGGCAAATATCAGCAGTGAGGAAGTTTCCAGTTCCTGCCAGAATAAAAATTTTGTCTTCAACAGCAAATTGTCCAATTTATTTTTTTTAAGGTGGCAGATGTTTTTTGGGATCTGGTGATGTCTGCAACATGTATTTTATAGGAAGAAAATCTCCAACCACAAAAACCAACCTAGGAAGAAAAGTCAATCTAAGGCTGGTTAAGAAATCCTCCCTCCCAGCCTAGGGAACATTTTTAGGTGAAAGCCCTCACATCACACAGTGGGTCACGCCTCAGGTGTAAGGCACATGAAAACCCATGAAGGTGGTCACTGCTCAGATTTTATGTTTACTGACCACATAACATTAAACACCAGCACTTACCCACAGCACTTTGGTTATACAGGAATAAAAGGGGCTCTAGAGTGTGTGAGAGAAGAGTCTGCTTAAAGTGGAAGACTCTTGATTATTTTTTGGTCAGGTGATTTTTCACTCCATTAGACACAGTGGAATGTCTACCCATATAAGTAGGTCATTGTTTCTAGGATAATTGTCTCAGTTTCTTTTCTGCAGCTATGACAGGATCCCACAGAATGGGTAGTTTATATGAAGAATTTATTTCTGTCCATTCTGGAGGCTGAGAGGCCTACCTGCAGGGGCCTCCAGGCTGCGTCATAACATAGTAGAAGGACAGGTGATTATGGGTCACAGGCAGGCAGAAGGAAAATCAGGCAAGTTCTTCCTTTAATTGGGAGCTCACTCCAAAATACTGAAACCATTTCTGTCATCATGGCCTTGATGTTTTCATGAACTGGAAGCTCACATGGCCTTTTACCTCTTAAGGGTCCCACTTATAAGTCATGTTACAACAGCAGTTAAATGTCAAGGTTCTCTTTGGCGGGACATTCTCACTGTAGCAGTTATGGGTTAGTAGTAATTCTGAGTGCATCTGGAAGATTAACCTACCATGGGGGCAACCCAGGTCTCCACACTTGACCTCAGCCTGGCACGTGCTACTTGGCCCCAACCCTGGCTTTGCTGGTGTTTGTTTCTTGTGAGTCAGGTGTGTACACAGAGACACAGAACCCAGAGGAGAATAGTGGTGACAAAACAAATGCAACTATGAGCTGAAATAGCAATGGAAAGAGGGCTTCTAGGAATAACTTATTTTCTTGAACGGAAACTTGTGTCATTAAATACAGTATCACCTCTGGGAGGTGACAGGAAAACTAGCAGAGGTCTGCTTAGGGCTGGTAAGGTGAGACGTTCACAGTCCTGTTGTTGGTGTGCTGCACATTTGGACTGGAAGGAAGAAACTGCACCAGTTGGGAGAGGGACTGTGGCCCCACCCAGCTCCCCACCGTGGGACTTTCACCCAAAGCCCAGGATCTCTGAGCCCCCTCCTACGTGTGGCTATGATATACTCGTCCACAGTGCTGCAGCCCCAGGGAGATGACCCTTAGGATGGTCCACAGGATTAAACTGGCTCCAGCCAGCCTCCATGGATGGTGCTAACCATGTGAACCATTGAACTGATCAAGAGGGAGGAGGCTGCCACGATCAGTGATCACTCCACGGGCTGCTTCCTGCGTGTGGAACGTGGCCACCCCCTATCTCCGCATCTGGGACATCCCAGTGCGTACTGATTATAGTGGTGACATCATTATATCTGAGTCTTCTCCATTAGTTCTGGAGGGCAAAAAAATCTCACCTTTCCCTGCTGCCTCTCAATTAACCACGAGGTAAGTACTCAATAAATACTTCCTGAATGAGATAATGAGGTTGATGGAGGATCCAGGATCAGCTGGAGCATGGCCAGAAGGTGAAATGGATGGGGACATGAAAAGTTAGACTCTGGAAAGGCTGCTGATGAACAGCCGAGGCGGATGGAGGCCCGGCAGGCCAGGGCAGAAGGGTTATCTCCATCACCACAGCTCTGCACGAAGACTGAGCAGCGGTGAAGACCCCTCCTGGGAGCTGCCAGTGGGTGGGGTCAGTGGCCATGCTCCCCTGGTGTGACCCTGGGGAGACCTGGGAACTTCTGAACCCCTAGGCCTGGTGGGGAGCTGGAGAAGGGCAGGGAAGCCAAGACTGAGACTGTCAGGGAACAGTCAAGGGTGTTGCATAGTCATGTGCTGAGCATGCAGGCCAAGTTCCTGCTCTCAAGTGTGTCCACCCAGGCTCCCATCCCTGTGATGGTGTCACAGGTTCCTACAGGCTTGGTCTTTCCCTGGGCCTCTGCTTACCTGAGAAGTAGCTGGCACAAATGTCTTGTCAACCACTACACTGCAAACTTCAAATGCTCCCATTCAACCCAACATTATTTAGAATTTAAAATACTGACCAGGGTGTTATTAAAGATAGAATCATACACTGTAGAAGTAAAAGCAAGCTTGGAGCTATCTAACACTCTTAAATTTTACTATTGAGAAAAATAAAACTCAAGTTGAATTCCTTGCCCAAGCTCACACAGCTAGTTGAGGGGTAGAGGCAAAGCAGGAAGCCTGATGTTCATTGGTGCCTCACTCTCTACTCCACACTCTCAAATGTAGCCTTAATCAAGATTTATATTGATCATCTACTCAACTTCTGGTTGATTTATCAGAGGAGAGAAACTTCATTCCATGGCTCTGCTAGAATGAGCTGTAGGACTTGTGAGTGGATCTGGGCTTGGAATCAGAAGAATCTCTAAAATGTTGGAAGATAAAGCAGAAGGGAATGTGTGTGGCTTGCCTGGATGGAGGCCTGGAGACATTTTCCCATGCACTCATGGAGCGGCTTTGTCTTTCTGGAGGAGAAAACCCTGATGCCTGAGAGGGCCGCAAGGCTGCCGTGACTCATCCTCAGGACAGCCCAGCAGGCAGCCAAGTTGGCCAGCAGGCCTTTCATCCATGTGGGCAGTGAGCAAGCAGATGAAGCTGGCAGTGCCATCTCCCCTCAGCGAGGGCATCTCTGGGCTGCCACTGCCACACAGCTCTTCCTCTGGACTGGAGCTGGGGATAGTTGGATGCACAGTTGTTCCGTGTTAAAATTCTAGAAAGAAAATGGGGAGGGTGCTTCCTGGTCCAGAGCAGCGCCTGTATAGGGGAGGGCCACCCCAAGTTGCAAGGTATATGCTTAATGTGGTACACAGTGCAGTAGCAGCCGTGAAGAAAAGAAAGTCATGGCATGGCAGGAAAATGGGCAGACCTAGAGAGTTGTGGTTAGTGAAATAAGCCCGATGCAGAAAGATGAATATTACATGTTTTCTTTCATTTATAGAAGACTATCAGGAGAGGAACAAGATCAGGGAAAGGAGAAGGGAAGGGCACAGGAGGTGACAGGAGTTACAGAGAGGGTCAAAGTACATTATATGCATGTACAGAGCTGCCAGAATAAAACCCATTCATCTGTAGAACTAATATGCACTGATAAAAGAAGAAAAATACATGTTTGTAAAGCAGCAAATGTATGTTATATTGAGGGGAACAAACTTATCTTTCTTGGTTTGGTCATGAAAATGGACTGCAGGAAGACAACTAATAATAAAGGTATAAATACAGTCACACTGACTTGCCAGGGATGGCATTCTGCATTGTTGTTTCAGAAATGCAGTGGAACCACGGTGAGACTCGGCCTGGGCCCTCTCCTCTTAGCCCAGATGAGAGTGTGACAAGGACGTGATTTTTATGCCAGTTCCTCCACCCCCTCTGGGTGACCTAGTGTCTCAGGGCAGCATGTCCTGGGCCTGTACCAGGTCTTTGCAGCCTGGGCATAGCTGTTTTGTGGGCCATCCTGGGCCTGTCGCCCCCAGCCTGTCCTGGCCCTGTCATTGTCCTCCTGGGCCCTTACTGGATGCACTCTGTGAGCAGGCCTCTAGTGGAACCTTTGCTGTGTCCCTGCAGGTGTCCCAGGCAGCAGCAGACCTCCTGGCATACTGTGAAGCCCACGTGCGGGAGGACCCCCTCATCATCCCAGTGCCCGCGTCAGAGAACCCCTTCCGGGAGAAGAAGTTCTTCTGTACCATCCTCTGAGGCCTTCGGTGATGGACCACCTCCTTTGCTGTAGAAACCCCCTATGAAGACAGTGCATGCTCTTAGACTAGGGAGCCGCCATGGCTGGGCTCAATTCATTTTTTCTTTGTATTTGTCATGCTATTTAATTTTTTTTTCATTTTTGTTATTTTTCATTCATAGTAAAGAAAATAGACATTTTTGTATCCAAATAACAAATGTGCCATGTAAAACTAAGCATGGGTTTAAGAGTTTACAATTTTCTAAACATCTGTTCTCAAGTTTAAATACATCAAGGTAATCAGTGTCAGTGGATAATTTACTGAAATGAAAAATTATGCTCAAGTAGTCTCATTGGCAGCAATCCTGTGTCCAGTGACAGGTTGGGGTCCAGCCCAAATGTGTAAATAGGGTTCCCTCCAGCAGCTCTGGGAGTCCTCATGTGTGACTTTCCATCACCCTGTGAAAAATGAATAACTTGCTGGGTGGGAACAGCACAAAACCCTCTGGGGATCCAGCAGGATGGGCCCTACCCTCTAGGGACAGACTAGAGTGTCACAGTTTAAGGCGTGCTATCCCCTTGTGTGAGCATTGCCATATTTAACCTTCCAAAAGTAAGTGCGTGAGTGTAGATCTGTTTTAGAGGTGGGGAAACTAAGGCAGGGGACCTTGATAACGGTTTGCCCAAGGTTGTATGGAATAAGCAGGAGAGCAGGGTGTTGGTGCAGGCAGCCTGACTCCATAGCCCTTCCTGGACTCTGGAGCTGGGGTACCTTCCAGGCGCCTGTCTGCAGATAAGCTGCACCTGTCTGCAGGTAACCTACACCTGCAGACAATCTTGACTACACATTGGGAAGCCAGCATGTTAGTGACACTGGCCGACAGCTGCTCAATAGCACACTTCTCTACCTACCTTCGCCAGGAGGGAACTTGATGAGCCCATTTGCTGATAGTCTCTAGGTGCCCCAGGGAAAGGCTAGACCTACCATTAGCTCTTGCATTCCTAGATACTTGCATTCCTGGCTAGACCACTCTCCTGCCATCCTAATGAAGTCATAGCATGGAGGGTTCTGTGTCTTAAGTTTGTTCTATCACATCTGTTCGGAAACTGCCTCTGCCCCAGCTCTGCCAGAGGGTTGCTGCATCGTGCAGTACAAGCCATTGTGTGCCAGAGCTGTTCCAGCCTGCAACTGGGGACAATGGTAATTACCCTGCATTTCTTTCTAGAAGGAAATTGAGGAAAGCTCTGATTATCATTTAAAGCAAATACATGTACTAAATGCCAAGCTATAATGCTGGGAAGAACGTATGTCTTCAAAAATAGCAGTGCTTCATTTGGGTGAAGAATGTAAACTTGTCTATGAAGAGGCAAATATAATTTTCAGATCAGTTAATGACTTGCTGGCTGGATAGACAGTTCTACACATTGCCATGCCTAGCTGCTTTTGCTGGAAGCATCTTCAGTTTCGTGGGCACTCACTGATGAGACCCAGCGTAGTCAGGGAGCTGTGTGCTTGTACCACAGCAGAACTGGACACTGCATGGATACAACTTCCAGTCCTCCTGTGGACTGGGTTGTGACTGGGATCTCCTTATTCTGTGATCTACATTATTATCACTAACTGCTAATACAAAGCACAGTCCATGAAAGGACATGGGGCATCTGTTGCAGGTCATTTCTACCTTAGGTCAAGTTTATGGGCCTGGCCTGTTGGATATGTGTTCCCCTGATCAGTGAGGTCCCATGCAGTGAGCCCCTCTACCTCATGGGCTGCCTGCATTGAACAGCTGTTATTTTGTTTTCCTCTTGGGGTTCATCATGATCTGCCTATCCTGCTAGGGAATGTTACTCTGATATAATGCATTTAGTGAAATGTAGTGCCTGCTTCCCACTGTGGAAGCTGAAGCAGGAAGGTGTCTCTATTTCTCAGACACCTCCTTTCCAGCTTGATTCCTTAGGCAAGTAGTCAGGGATCCAGGCTACTTGGACATCCTGCTTGGTGCCGTGAGTCTGGAGCAGGTAACACAGAAATGAAGGATTACAATGGCCCAGGGTGCCACTGTCTGGCAGGGGAGGTGTCTAAAGCTGGTGGGCCAAGGGAAGGGTGTCTAGGGATGGGGTGGAAGGGCCCTTTGAAGACCATCCTGGCCCCCTGAGCAGGCTTCTCCATCCTGTCTCCCTATAGCTCCCTGCTAGCTTTCTGTTAATGCTGTGGCCACCAGATCCACCAAGTAAATTCTTTATTCCATGAAATTGCCCGCATAGATACATAGATACTATATGACCTAATGTTTCCACCCTAGGTGTGGGCCCTACAGAAATGGGCCCATATAATTCACCAAAAGAAATGTGCCAAAGTGTTCATAGCTGCAGTGTTCATAATAACCCTAACTTATAAAATACCCACATGTCAAGGAGGATAGTCACAGGAGGAATCCTCTACAGCCATGGCAATGAGTAGTCTGCGCATCCTCCACAGTAGGACACACAGCAAGGTGAGGCACATAGGGACCCAAGTTACGTCTAAGGGGACAGTAACCCAAAGGAAGCCTGGTGCAGTTTCCAGAATGTTCCATTCCTTAATCCAGTTGCCTGTCATCCAGTGTGTTGAGATTGTGATAATTCTCTTAGCTGTATACTTTCAGTTTGGGTGCTCCTCTGTATGTTGTACTTCAATAAAAAGTTGAGTTTTGTGGCTACCACTCCTGAATCATACTGTTACTTATTTTTTCTTTTTTGGCGTTTTGCTTGACTTTTGGCCTTTCACAGAGATCATTATCATGACATTGATCATAATATTAGTGGGGCATTTGAAGAGAGTGCTTGGCAACACTTTGGATGACAAAATACATATAGTCCACAGCTGTCTGAATGGGGAACAGGCTGCAAGGCCTCCTGTGGGTAGGCTATGGGAGTGTCATGCTGTGGGATTTGGGAGGAACTGAGGAACCCTGCTGAGACTTCACACTGGATGCCTGGGATGATGTCTTCTGTGCCTTCCTACCTTCTGATCATCACTGGACAGGGTCCAAGGAGGTCACCCAAAGGGGACATGGGGACCTCAACTGTCTCCACCCCAAGGAGTAGGTTTACTGACTCTTGTCACAGAAAGCATTCCAGTATACATCAGTAAAAGACGTAGGTTTATTAGGCAGAATCAGAGCAGTCCACACATAAGCGCACAGGCACTCAGTGGTGAGATGCATTATGTTCTGTGACTGGTGTATTTATGTGGTTCTGGGGTGTCCTGAAGATGGATGATGCAGGATGTGTATTCCTTGGATTATTGATCACCTACCTGGTGGCCGTGAGTGGGCTGAGTTAACGTACAAACTGTTGGCATGTGTTTGAAGTCTAGAAATGTGGTACCCAGTTAATGGAGCTGTTCCCTTCAGGATGGAAGTCTGTAGGATTTGTGGCTTTAGGATTAGAAGAAAACCATGGGCCTAATCTTCAAGATTCTGTAGGAATAAGAAAGCTGAAAGGAAAACAGGCCAAGGGGTGGAACAGGCATTGCAACTTGGGTGACTGACTGTGTCTTGATGCTGCAGTTCTGAAATTACAATTCTCTTTTCTCGTCTCCCTATTCCATCCACCCTCAGGCTGAGTAACACGTTGGGCAGGAAGAGCGAGTGAGACACACAGCCTTCTCTCTGTGCCCTCCCTGGGTTCAGCCCATGTCTGCTCACAGTGTGCCCAGCTCTCGGAGTTCCTCTCCCGCTCACAGCTCCACATGGCCCCTGCCATTCTCACAGTTCTGCCGTGTCCCTTCATGGGATGATCACAGAGTAGCTTCACACTGGGACCCACAACATAAGTGCAGAGGTCTGGCTTTGATTCTGAGCTCCAGCCTTTCTGAACACCACCAGGAAGCTGGTGGCAACCACCCACCATGGAGGTGTGCTGGGAGCAGAGCAAAGGGCAGAGGGCCTTTGTTCTGGGGACTGTGCAAGTCTGAGATGAAATGAGGATAACAACTGATATTTTACCGTGAGATGACTGTGGACAATAGATTAGACAGGAGCTATTTGCACCCCCACCTGCTCAGCTCTTCAGACAGCAAGAAGGTACTAGATGAGGGCAGGTTTCTTCATGGTACTGAGGATTGAGCCCAGAGCCTTTTTAGTAAGCTGCCGCCTGGCCCTTTATTTTTTACTGTGCCAGGGTCTTGCTAAGTCACTAAGTTCCCAGGGATGGGCTCAAACCTTCCATGCTCCTGCCTCAGCTTCATAGAGTGCTGGGATTAGCACTCCAGCAGGGTTTAGATTTTAGGAAGTACCAAAGGAAGCTCCCTGTCCCGTGTCTGGGCACCATCACCTCCTCCCCAGAACCTGGGACTAGAGCAGCAGCATAGAGGATCAGCTGGTGTCTTCCCAGTTCTCTTGCTTTTGGAAGTCAGTTTGGATGAGCAGGGATGGCTTTTGCTGGCCATAACCTGATGATTCTATTTGGTTTTTAATCAAACTCCTACACCTGGTTCTGCTGCAACAAACAGCAGGTAATTTGCTTACCTGTAACTCTTTCAAACCCATTTATGGGGATTAACCATGTGCTGGTATTTTTCTGACCACTTCCTTTCACAGATGTCTCAGCGACCCCAGACAGCTCCAAGGCCCTGTGTGCTCTGGCCTCTGCTTCTCCAGTGTGTCCCCCAGTGCCATGTGCTCTTCCACACTGCCATTATTCAAGCCTGCTCATTTGTCATCTTTCCTGCTGCTGCAGGGACTTTATGTCTGCCAGATCTGCTGCCATTCTCTGCTGGGTCTACTTATTTTACAGGCCTTGACTCAAGTTATTAGTGAAAGCTCACGTGTTCTGTAGCCTCTTTGACCAGGCCAATCTGTTTTGAGGCCTACACTGTGAGGCTTATATTGCTGCTGTCATTTTACATTTTTATTTGTGATTACCTAGTGGGGAGCATCTCCCCCACTATGCTGTAATCACCAGGAAAGAAGGTACCCTGGTCCTGCTGGTCATTGCATTCCCAGCACTGCACATGTCACCTGGCCCGTGGCGGGTAGATGGCATCGGAATAAATGCATGCAAGTTACTACCAGTCTCTAGCTTTAGGTAACAGAGTTCACATTAAGTAACTTGCATAGGACCCAACATTGCCAAGTGCCTGTGTTTGAATCCAAATCAGTCCACCACCACCACTATACTGCCTATTGTCGCATCTGGGGGTGTAAGAACCCGAAGGCCCTCATCTCTTCCACTGCCCCATCAAAAAGAAAAAAGCTGCTAGGAAGCCAGGAAGCAAACTATTGGCTTTGTAGCCTTGCTGTGCTTTGTTGCAGTTTAAAAGCCATAGATCATCTATGTGCTGTAACTGCCCCCCTCCCACTGTGTGACTGGGCACTAGTTTAATTGTGGTAATTAAGGCCATGGGAGGGCTGCCTCCGGGTAAGAAGTGAAAGAATAGCTTGAAAAGGAAAGAAGCATGCCACTGGGCATCACAAAGGTAGCATTAGTGAATTCTGCTCCTGCCTAATGCCCGTTATATGGAGTGGGGAGTACTGAAGCGTTTTCTCAAAGTGAGAGACCTGTTATTTACTGTGGCCAGGTGTGTGAATGAGTGTTCATTCCCTGATTTTTCTGTCCAAATTATTTGATAAAGTTTGTATCATTTCCTTGTAGTTTTTTTACATTTTTTATTACATTTTACTTCACTTCTGCTTTTAGGTTACATTTGACTTCATTCAACTCAATTTTAAGTATAAACCAATCCCTGGGGCAGAAGAAAGGAAGCCATTGTCCTGAATAAATGCAAGGCTTTTAGCTGCTGCCTGATCTAATCATTGGTTACAGCTCTTTGTGGTGGTACACATTTGTAATCTCAGGGAGGGGATTACGTGGGAGGGGATGCACACTGGGAGGCTGAAGCAGAATTGCAAGTTCAAACCCAGCCTGGGTAATTTAGTGATTTAGAAAGACTGTCTCAAAAAAAAAAAAAAAAAAAAATTGGGAAGGGCTGGGGATATAGCTCAGTTGGAAGGCCCTACATTCAATCCCCAGTACACAGAGACAGAGACAGAGACAGAGACAGACAGAAACAGACAGATGGAGTATCATTGGTTGCTTTGCTTAGTCTCAGTTCTTACTGATCTTTTTGGAAATGCACATTATGCTTTAGTTATAATTACACAGAAACAAGGACATGCAAAAGGAAAGAAGATGCCCTGCCTGGTGGACAAATAATGATTGAGCAAGGAGACACCTGGGAGACGGAAAAAAAAATACCAAAGAATGAGGGAGGTTTCAGAGTGGAGAGAGACTCAGGCTGAAGTGCTGCCCTGCTGTGTTCTGGCTCTGTCACTGCTCAAAGCCTTTGCTTTCTCTTGTAGAACCACAGGGACTGAGACAGCTCACTCCTGGGGGTTCTGGGAGACTCCGTGAAATGAGCTACGCGTGTTGTATGCTGGATGCGCCCTGTGCGTGGTAAACGGGCATTTGCTAGCTTGACCTCCTTAACAGTGATGGCACAGATATGGTGGGCATTTGGAGACTCAGCATTTGAAACAAGACCGTGCCACTTATTAAGTGCCACTTACCAAAGATGAACTGAAGGGAGGAGGGAAGGGGACACTTAGCACCCACGGCTGGGGCCCATCTCATCCGGCCCAGGAACATACCAAAGTTATGCTTTTTATGCAGGAATACAACCTAGGAGCCTGGAACTCCAGGAACTGTTCTGTAGAAGGAGCGATAAAAGAAATAAAGATAGGTAGAACGAAGACAAGGAAAATTATAATTTAAAATTGTATCTTTGTGTGGCGGGGGGAGACAATGCAGCTTCACCACATGGATAGCTCAGTCTTCTTAGAAAAGTGTCCTTTCGGTTTCAGGAAGTTTCTGCCCTTTTCCTTGTTCCATTGCAAATGGTTCTCTTTGTGAGGGAGACACTTGCACCATCAACCTCTCTGCTTTCCTCTTTTCCCTCTTGCCTTCCGTGATGACACTCTTCTCTTTCTGCCTCCTCATCCTTGTCCTCCTCCACCTCCTCTTCCTCCTGCTCCTCACTCTCCTCTCGTAGGTCAGATATTTCTAGCTTCTTGTGGGACATTGGCTGGGCTGGGGTTCCCTCTCCCTCTGAAGCAGGGGCCAAAGAGGACCTGCCTGGACCTGTGTACAGGCTGGGGCAGCTACCATCACCTCCATCCCCACTGGGGGAGTGCAGGGACCCAAACTCAATGTTAACCTCCTCAGCAGCCAGAGCAGAGTCATTTTCTCTTCTGGGGAACTCACTCCTAGACAATTCCTAATGGCTTGAAAAACACAATAAGCCTGAATTGGGCTCTGGGCCTGTGCTTGTCACCATTGAGTTGCCTTTTGTCCCACTGATCTCTGTCCTCAAGGAAGCAACAATATTAGTAAGCATCAGGCCAGGGATATAGTGCAACATCATAGCACCTGCCTGGCAAGCATAAGGTCCTGAGTTCAATTCCTGATTAAAATATACATATTTTAATATATATACTTTAAATATATATATTTAAAATAAATTTAAACAAGCACCACTGGACAGGGTCAGAAAGCCAGGCCCAGTGGTCATGATGGCTCTAGAGTGCTTTACATTCTAATCCAGGTCACCAAATGGGTACCCTGACAGACAGTGGGCATACACCTCCTAGACCAGTCATTCTGAGGACACCCATGATCACAATAAAAAGCCCCAAGCCTAGACC